AACCGAGCATGCATATCCCCCTCGCTCGCGAGGCCATTTATCGCTTTTGCTAGCTAGTTGTAGTTGATTACCTCTGTTGTAATTAATTTAGCTTAATGCTTTGTAATATTCTAATTAGCTTAGATTAGCTAGTTATTTAATTTGTTCTGTAATAATTAATTAGCTAGAATAGTTAGTTAATTAGTTGGTTTGTAATAGTTAGCTTAATTAGCGTAGCTAGTTAGCTTTCATTTTATTCGGACCCTTCGTCAAGAGGGCAAATTTGGTAATAAGTGTGTGTGTGTGTGTGGATGTCTTCCAACCCCACGTCTTTCTCCCTTTTACTTATCAGATTTTGATGGTTAGTTTAGGACATATTGAAATTAGCATACTTATGCTTGCATGCGCGCATCACTCATTCGTATTGCATACACCGGGCTCCGCGCATCATTCGAACTGCATTGTAATTCAATTCCTATTTGAATACATGTATCAAGTGTAGCATTCATATGCCATCTTAGATAGCCGAGCCCATTTAGTTGCATTTTGCATGTGTTGCATTAGGCATCTTAACATAGCTAGGATCATGCATTGATTTCTAACTAGTTTTCTTTTTTGGCTTGAAGTACACTGTGAGTGTTTATGTTTTAGCATACTTGCATATGTGTAAATGATTGCCATGATAGCATGCTTGCCATGAGGCTATGTACTTAAATGATTAACTGCATGAATGCCTGTGGATGAAGGCTTTATTACTTGAATTGGAATAATTCATCAAATGTGCATTTTAAGCCCACTTGTTTGTGGCAAATCATGTTTTCAAGCCCACTTGAGGGTAGCAACTTCAAACCATTTTCAAAAAAACAAACATGTGATGTTTTGTTCCAAATTGAGTGATTTAGTCTATACTTGTCTGTTGTGCGCATCACATAGTAAGTTAGGTTAATAAACCGAAATAAGAACACATGTGTTTTCAAAAACAACATATCATGGTAGTAAAGGCTGATCTTTGATCGGGCGAGCGGGGGTGCTCATTTCAAGACCTTCCCCTCTCGTACCCAAGTTCCCGAGCCGAGGCAACTTTTGTGATGACAAACACGTGGCCTTAGGCACGAGTCAGGGTTTCCTAAATTTCCCAAAACAAAATATTTAGATGGCGACTCTGAAATCTCGCAAAGCAGTCCATGTTTGGCGCTTTTGATTCAAAATTGATTTTTCAAAACCAATTGCCGGATTTGGACTCTTTGGTGATTTATCAGTCTTACATTATACTTTGTGAGATTAGATTCAGAACCATGACAGGAGTTCGAACTGTAGTAGCTATGAACACAATTCGCGCCCTCGCGTGCGGAGCGAGTTCGGGCGGTCTACACCATCTCAACATGTTTTGGCCTCTATTTTGGCATGTTTCATCTCTGTCCATAGCTGGTTTGGTCATTTAAGTTTGATATTGCATGCCTCTAGTGTAGTGCTCTTCACTAGCCTTAATGTTTAAGTCTCTCAACATGTTGTACATGAGTGGGTTGCATGTTGTAGTCTTGTGTTTCATGCCACTTGCACTGAAATTCTGCAACCTCTCTCATTTCTTCACTTTTAATTGGCTTTGAGGGTTGGTTAGTCTTAAGGTTGTGTTTAAACTTGAGATTGAGGCTTGTGCTCAATGGCTTTAACTCTCTTTTGAGGGTTTCTACTAGCCAAAGGCATGACCTCTCTCATATCTTAAACCATCTTTTGGTTGACCCCTCTCTCATTAGAGGACAATCACTTGGACTTAACCAATTAAAGAAAGGTTTGGTAACTTAAAATGAGTAAACAAGAATTGGACAAGTAAAAATGGCCAAGATAAGCATGTTATATGTGCATTGCATTGTGTTCAATCGGACATTATATTGAACACAAGGTAGATTGGTACATTTCATACTCAAAGTGATGAAAATGAGCCAATCTTCCTTTGTCTCCATTGCCCTTGATCAGGTATGATAGGGTAGTGGTCCTAGAGTCCTGTTTTGTGCATTTATTGTATGTGTACAAGTTGGATCTTTGGCCATCATGCATTCAAAATGCTTGATTGGTGGTCTTGGATTCAATAATGCAACTCCTTTGATGTTTTGAGATGATAAAGAGGGCGCAGTACAAACATGTCCTTGGAAGACCCTCCATTTTCCTCTGTTTGAGCTCTGTTGCAAAATGGTGATGCAGCGCACCAGTGGCCGGCAGTGTCTCATCAGTGGCCGGCAAGGTTTCATCCTTGGCCGATAGTGCCTCTGTTTGGCCGGCAGGTGGCCGGCAACAGCCCCTCATGGCCGGCAGGCCACTGGTGCAATCCTCAACATGGAATTGGTAAGGTAGGGCATAAAGTTCTTGGAGTAACCCTACAAATAGAGTTTGTCAAGAGAAAACCGGTGGGCTTTTCGTGGCGAGAAACCGAATGCATGCATGTTCAACTTTCTGAAGCAGAGCTGAAGTAGTGTAATTTAATGCTTTACTTGTTAGTTAGCATTGGTTTTGTAATTTAATTAATTAGTGTGCTAATTAGTTAAGTGTTGTAATAATTAAGTAGCTTAGCTTAGCTTTTTCTTTATTGTTGTAATTAGTTAGCTTCGAGTAGTTAATTAGCTGTTGTGTAATAATTAGTCTAATTAGTTTAATTAGATTAGTTAGCTTAGCTTAGCTTAGTGTAGCTTAGCTTATTTATTCGGACCCTCCTTCGCGAGGGCGTATTGTTGTAATAAGCGTGCGTGTGTGTGTGCATGTCTTCCAACCCCACGTCTTTCTCCCTTTTACTTAACCGTTTTTGATGGTTAGTTTAGGGCATGTTTTGATTAGCATACCTTATACTTTGCATGTTTGCATCACTCATTTGTGTTGCATGCACCGGGGCTCGGCGCATCATTCAAACTACATCATATTTCAATACTTATTTGAATACGCGTATCAAATTGTTGCATTCATATGCCATCTTAGGTAGCTGAGCCTATTTAGTTGCATTGTTACATGTGTTGCATTACGCATCTAGCATAGTTAGGATCATCGATATTTGTAACTAGTTTTTGTTTTGGCTTGGAGTACACTGTAAGTTTTACGCTTTAGCATACTTGCATGAGTGTGAGTGTTGCTATGTTTCGCATGCTTGGCATGAGGCTATTTGCTTAAATGCTAACTTGCATGAGTGCCTGCGGATGAAGGCTTTGTTGCTTGATTTGGACAATTCAATGATTGTAAGTTTTAAGCCCACTTTATGAAGTGGCAAAATCAAGTTTTAAGCCCACTTGAGGTGGCAAATCCACGCTTTAGCGTACTTGCGAGTAGCACTTTCAAACCATTTTCAAAAACAAGCATGAGTTGTTTTGTTCCAATTCTCGTGATTGAGTCTATATTTGTATGTGTGCGCCACATAGTAAAGTTAGATTAATAACCAGATAAGAACACATGAGGTTTATAAAAACAACATATCATGTTTAGTGTAGGCCGATCCTTTGATCGGGTGAGCGGGGGTGCTCATTTCAGGACCTTTCGCTCTCGTACCCAAGTTCTCGAGCCGAGGCAACTTTGGTGATGACGGACACATGGTCTTTGGCACGAGTCAGGGTATCCTAAATTTTCCAAAACAAAATATTTAGATGGCGACTCTGTAACTTGGCAAAGCAGTCCATGTTTGGCGCTTTTTAATTCAAAATCGATTTTTCAAAACAATTTGTTGGATTTGGACTCTTTGGTGTTTATCAGTCTCACATTGCACTTTGTGGGATTAGATTCAGAACCGTGACAGGAGTCCGAATTGTAGTAAGACCAATTTGTGCCCTCGCCGAAAGGGGGGCGCGCGAAGAAAGTCGGGTCTACAATGTATTTACTATATATTTACCCAGCTTTCCTTCCATGCACTTATTATTTTGTTTATGCAGGCAACAATTTGAAGAAAGTTCTGGTTTTGGCCGACGATGCTGTGCTTGCGGAAATCAAAACCGCACTCCAGTTCTTTGGCCATCCAAACCTCCAGAAGTAAGGGAGGCTGGCCCACATACTTCTCAGATACGAGCCAACTTACGCAACCTTTTCGACCGCAGACAACATTCCGATTTTGAGGGGTGAACAGCAGCTCACGGCTCTTATCTTCCCCAACTTCAAAAACCTTAGGCAAATTAGTTTAGAAGCTTCTGATCTGGAGCAGGTGAAAGAACAAGTAGCCAAAAAAGTCGTCGAGCAGCCGAATTAGTCCACTTTGGAAGCCGAAGAAGTTGATGAGGTTCTGAACATGGCTTTTGAAGAAGCCGGCCTTAATCAATCCAACCCTGCATCCACTTCAAGCCGAGGAGACGTCTCCTTTGAAGATATTTTTACCAACTTAGGGGACCTTCCCGGCGCGTACCCTGAGAATGGCTGGGGAGTCGCTCACGCAGCTAGCCAGGGCGAAAAATGCTAAATGGATGGCCGCCCGGAGGAGGTCTGAGACCAACCGATTTGAACCTCCCCCTGTTGCCGCGACGAAGTTTTCTCTACCTGATACCGTGGAAGAAACGGCTTAGATTGAAATGGCCCAGACGGAACAGTTAGATTAGGAGGCCGAGTAGAGGAGGGAAAAGCGTCCCACTGAGTACGAAGCCGACCCTGAGGAAATATTTAACGATAAACGGCCACGCTTGGAGTCGGACTCGGTTGTGCTGCTCATCGTCTAACCAAGGATAAAGAATGTGCCAATTGCGTCCGATACGTCGGCACTGAAAGATCTGGCTGTGGCCTTGAGCGTGGCTTTCTCAATTTCCCTGCCGGTTGACAGACCGATTTTTCGGGCAGAGCCAGATTTGCTGTCAATAGCATTAGCCACTGAATCGACCATATTGGTACATGACTTGAGCCTTATCTGCAATCTTCCACCTTTATATATTTTTTTGTTGTTATTATTATTTTATTAAGTCTAATTCCTTGTTTTGCAGACGGCAGACAGAATAGCCGAGATCGGCCGCCGTCAACATGATGCTATTGAATAGATCAGCTTTCTAAAAACCAAAATATAAAATGAGAAGAGCAAGGTCGTGGAGGCCTCTCAAAGAGCCGAGCCCGAGGCAGAGAAAATAGCAAATGAGCGTGCAAGAGCCAACGTCGAGGCAGAAAAAGCGAAGAGTTCTGACCGACTTAGGTCGGCTGCTAAAGAGAGGTCAAACGCAAGCGAAGTTGCGCTCAAGTTAGCCAAGGAGGCGATTGCCAATCTAGAAACTGATTTGGAAGAGTCAAAGAAAGAAAAGGAAATAGCCGACATCGAGATTTCCAAAGCGTTCCAAGCTGGGAAGGACGACGCCTTGGAGAACTATGTGGAGGAAGTACCCAAGTTCGAGAATCGGGGCTTCAAATATGGCTGGCTCAAAGCCCTCACTGCCACTAATGTGACATTGGCGCAGCCGATTCCATATGAGCAGGTGGACATTGAGCCACTGGAGTGTAACCCTGATGATTGACTAGGTGACATTTTTATTTTTGTTAGGTATCTTCCACGTATAGTTTTTGTAGATTTTTGTTAGTAGATTTTTGTTTATTTACTTCAGTTAGAAGTTAAATGTAGGGTAATTTTCACGTGTAAAATGACTACTATCTGTACTCAATTTATTAATGAAAATTTTCTTTGGTTTTCTGTCTGTTGAATGTGCTAGTTAACAATCTAGTAAGATGTAAGATCATGAGATGAGTAAACCAAACATCCGATTAAATAGCTGCTGATTAGATACCTACGTATTTTTTCAATTTACCCAAATAAATTAACGAATCTACCCTTGCCTCAGCTAATGATTGAATTGGAACGTCGAAAATCGATGGTTCATGGATTGGCTGAGGCACATGAACTAATCGACGAATAAGTTAACGAATATTCCCTTGACCCAGTTAATGAATGAACTGGAACGCCGAATATCGGTGGTTCATGGATTAGCTGGGGCACATGAACTTATCGGTGCAAGGCCTTGAAATTTGGCCGACTAGATTAACAAATCTTTAGCCGCTAAGATTAATGAATCTGCCCTTGCCCTAGTTAAGGAATGAACTGGAACGTCGAATATTGGTGGTTCATGGAATAGTTGGGGCACATGAACTAATCGACAAATAAATTAATGAATACGCCCTAGACCTAGCTAATAAATGAACTAGAACACCGAATTTTGGTGGTTCATGGATTAGCTAGGGCACATGAACTTGTCATCGCAAGGCCCTGAAATTTGGCCGATTAGATTAATGGATCTTTAGCTGCTAAGATTAACGAATCTTTCCTTGCTCCAGTTAAGGAACGAACTGGAACGCCGAATATCGGTGGTTATGGAATGGCTGGGGCACATGAACTTATCGGTGCAAGGCCTTGAATGTGAGCATTGATGAGATCGCCTCAGGATTGCTACCCCCGTAATCAATAAATGGGGTGGGGGCTGCATGCACAGAGGTGCCATTGTTGCGTTCAAATCCAACAAATTAGGAGAGGAAAAAAAAGCAGTGTGGACGATTGTGGATGGCAAGAAGACTATTTTTCAACAGCAGAGGAGAAGGTAGGACACTGGCAGAATTGGACGCAGAGATGAATCGAGTTGGCGAGCCTACGCACATGGGAAGTAGGATGTCGAGGGAGCTTGAGAAGTGCCATTCCCCAAGTCATCGAAGTAGGTCACCAGGAAAGGAAAGACAACAACAAAGTAACTCCCCTCACTCGAGAGGTGAAACCAGTGCGACACCGTGCCCGTTGAGATTTTCAGTTTTCATTGGGAACAAACCGATGACGGAAGCAGATTCCATCATCCGTGACCCAAATGTAGTAGTCGAGTTCTCTTGACAGATTTTGCCACCAGAAGTTCAGCAGTCCATGGTCGGCCGGGCTGATTACGAACTTTTTCAGGAGGGCGTTCATGGAGCAGTAAAGGTTTTGTACACCTCCTACGAAATCGGCATGCATCTTCGTACCGCACGAAGAGAGATAGAGCAAAGGGATGCTCACATTCAGAGCTTGCAAGCCAGTGCGGAGAAGGCTGAAAATGAGCTGAAGAAAGCCAACACCTCAGAGACTCATTCAGCGAGTCAAGTGAATCCAATTGTCGTGGAGCAAGTAAACCTCCAAATTCTGGATCACGTGATTGCCGACCGAGAAACGATGAGTATGTTCGCAACAGAATCTGCGAAGGCTAGGCCCTATGAAAAAGGCTTCCATGACGGCCAAAAAATTGGAATAGAGAAGATGAAGGAAAAACTAGCCAAGGAAGTCTATCGATGCAAAAATCGCGGATTTAAGCATGGATGAATCAAGGCTCTTCCGGCTGCTGGCGTTGATATGGCGTCACCCTTATATCAGAGTTATACTTTTCCATTCAAGGGTTTCGATGCCGAGAAGTCTAATGACGAGGACGGAGCCGAATAATTTTGATGTACATTGTTTATTATTTATGTAAAGCATGTACTCATGATCTATTGAGTAAAAGATATTATTCTGAATGTCTATATGTTCTTTCGATCAGTGGTTGTTGGTTATATTATGTCTACTACTTTACATCAATCACAATATCCATGAAAGGAGCTCCGAATTCGGAGAATTATTCAGCTCAAACATGTCATTCACAGGTGGGTCTTTGAATTCAGAGGCTTTTTGTTTTGGCCAATCGTGATTTCCACGAAGGGCGCTCTGAATTTAGATGCTTATTTTGCCCAAACGTGTCATTCACGAAGGGGGCTCCGAACTCGGAGGATTTTTGTGTTGGCTAATCGTGATTTGCATGAAGGGCACTCTGAATTTGAAGGCTTATTCGACCCAAACGTGTCATTCACGAAGGGCGCTCCGAATTTTGAGGCTTTTTGTGTTGGCCAATCGTGATTTGCATGAAAGACGCTCTGAATTCGGAGGCTTATTTGGCCCAAAGATGTCATTCACGAAGGGCGCTCAGAATTTAGAGTTTTTGTGTTGGCCAATCGTGATTTGCATGAAGGACGCTCCGAATTCGGAGGCTTATTTGGCCGAAACATGTCATTCACGAAGGGCACTCAGAGTTCAGAGGCTTTTTGTGTTAGCCAATTGTGATTTGCACGAAGGGCGCTTCGAATTTGGAGGCTTATTCAGCCCAAACGTGTCATTCATGAACGGTGCTCCGAACTCGGTGGCTTTTTCAGCCCAAACATGTTATTCATGAAGGGCGCTCCGAATTCGGAGGCTTATTCGGCCCAAGCGTGTTATTCACGAAGGGCACTCCAAATTCGGAGGCTTTTTTTGTGTTGGCCAATCGTGATTTCCACGAAGGGCGCTCCGAATTTAGAGGCTTTGTGTGTTGGCCAATCGTGATTTCCACGAAGGGTGCTCCGAATTCGGAGTCTGTTGACACAACCAGAACTCATTGGGCAAGAGAGAACATTGTATTGAAAATACAAAGATGTACACAACCTAAAATCAAAAGAACCTGTCATGCCGTACATGTTTACTTAATGATAAAATTTGCGCAAGTGTGTGAAATTCCACGGACACGACAAGCTTCTTCCATCCATATCTTTGAGCCGATATGCCCCTATCCTTGTGATTGAGTCAATCTGGTAGGGGTCGTCCTAGTTAGGACCCAATTTTCGGTCAGCGGGATTCCTAGCAGCGGGAAGCACTTTCTTGAGGACCAACTCCTGGTGTATAACGGCGTAGCTGAACACGTTGATTATATGATTTAGCGAGCTGTTGCTAGTACCGTGCCATGGAAGCAGGGGCACGGTCTTGGGATTCTTCAATTAGAGTCAAGTCCAAGTTCAACATCATGTCATTTTGGCCCATGTCAAAGACCTTCTATTTTAAGGTTAGAAGGCCGATCTCTAGGGGATGAGTGCTTGGGTTCCGAAGCACAGAGCAAACGGCGTTTTCCCAGTGGATCGCCTCGGAGTAGTGCGATGAGCCCACAGTACGCTGGGCAACTCTTCGACCCATCTGCCTTTAGCTTTCTCCAACCTTTTCTTGATGCCATCCAAAATAACCTTGTTGGTGGCCTCCGCTTGACCATTTCTTTGGGGGTAAGCCGGCGAGGAAAAGTAGGGCCGAATACCATAAGTGTTGTACAACTCTCGATACACACCACAATCAAACTGGGTACCATTGTCTGAAACAAATGCTTGGGGTATGCCGAATCTCGTTACGATGTTTTTGCATACAAAACGCTTAACGTAGGAATCTCAAATATGTGCTAGTGCCTCTGCTTTGACCCATTTTGTGAAATAATTCGTCGCAACAATTAGGAATCGCCTGTTGCTTGGTGCCCATGGTAACGGTCTAACATTATGAAGCCCCCAATGAGTGAACGGCCAAGGACTACTGATAGAGTTTAACTCCTCGGCAGGCAGATGAGTTAAGAGGGAAAACGTCTGGCATTGCTCATATTTCTTGACATAACATTCAACATTGGTTCGCATGGTCGGCCAATAATACCCCTGCGTTACGGCTTGATGGGCCAGAGATCGTCCGCCCGAATGGGCACCACAACTACCTTCATGTATTTCAGACAAAAGTTCCTCAACTTTATCCAGGTGAACACATTCTAAGTATGGCCCAGAGAGAGATTTTTTGTAGAGCTTCCCCTATGGATCCAAGTAGAATCGGAGGGCTTTGTTTTGTAGTTTTGTGTGCTTCTTCTTATCTATCGGGAGTTGTTCTGAAGATAGGAATACGGTGATGGGGTCCATTCAACTTGGACCCGGTTCGATAACATTGATCTAAACTAATTCTGAAAAGGCAATGCTCGGCTTAGGGACGAATCGAATTCAATTGTCTACTTAATTTCTGAGTTGATCGTAGAGGCTAAGCAAGCTAGGGCGTCCGCATGCGTGTTCTGATCTCGAGTTATTTGATTCAGTTCGTGGTGATCAAATTTCGCGAGCAAAAGAATTTGTCATTTTCATATAAGCTGCCATGCGGTCATTTTTGGCTACATATTCCCCTTTCAACTGGTTGATTACTAGCTTTGAGTCATAGAAAACAAGCAGACGCCGCGCACCGAGGTGAAGTGCATTCCATAGGCCGGTTAACAGTGCTTCGTATTTGGCCTTGTTGTTCGATGCATCGAAGCCCAGTTTGGCAGCCTGTTCGATTATTGCTTCTTCGAGGGTCATGATTACTACACCAGCCCTACTACCATGCTGGTTGGATGACCCGTCACAATACATCTGCCAAACGTCACCAACATACATTCTCCAGTTAGGCTTGGTTTGCACTTGATCAGACTTAAAGTCGGCGAGGGATCCTGTGAATTCGACTACAAAGTCGGCGAACACTTGCCCCTTTATGGAAGTTCTGGGTAAAAACTAGATATCATACTAGTCGAGTTCCAGAGCCCATTTCGAAATGCGCCCTGATGTTTCTGCGCTGCGAAGCGCTGACCAGAAGGGATAGTCCGTTAGTACCCCAATGGTATGCCCCTGAAAGTAATGCATCAGTTTTCTTGCAGCCATGACGAGGGTATGGATAAGCATTTCCAATGGAAGGTAACGTGTTTCGGAGTCGGCCCTTACTTTGCTCACATAGTAAACTGGTCGCCGCTCCCCAAGTTCTTCCCTTAACAATACGGCGCTAACCGCCTAGTTGGATACCGCCAGATACAAAATGAGGGGATCGCCTGCCGTAGGTGTTGCCAAGAGTGGTATTGATTGGAGATAAGACTTCAAGCCGTCCAAAGCGGCCTGGCATTCGGGGGTCCATTCAAATGCTCTGCCTTGCCGAAGTGTGTAAAAGAATTATCAGCAGCGATCTGTGGAACGACTAATAAACCTGTTGAGTGCGGCGGCCATTCCCATTAGCTTCTGAACCTCTTTGACTGACCGAGGGGAGCCAAGGTCTAGAATTGTCATTATTTGCCTCGGGTTGGCTTCGATTCTGCGGTTGTTAACGATGTAGCCAAGGAATTTTCCGGATCTGATGCCGAATGCACACTTCGAGGCATTCAATTTCATCTTATACTTTCGAAGGATGCCAAATGTCTCTGCCAGATCGGCTAGATGGGAGTGATTTTCCTTGGATTTGACTACCATATCGTCGATGTATACTTCCATGGTACGGTCGAGTTGTTCCTTGGACATGGCAGTCACTAGTCTTTGATAAATTGTCCCCTCATTCTTCAACCCAAAAGGCATGACCTTGTAGCAATAGGTTCCTCTTGGGGTGAGGAATGCGGTTTTTTCTTGATCCTTCGAATGCATGGCAATTTGATGATAGCCCCTATAGGCATCCAAGAAGCTCATGCGTTGATGATGTGCCGTTGCATCTACGAGTTAGTCTATTCAGGGGAGGGGAAAGCAATCCTTGGGACAAGCTTTGTTTAAGTTCGTGAAATCCACACAAACGCGCCAAGTTCCATTTTTCTTCTTCACAACTACAGTATTCGACAGCCATGTAGGATAGGTCACTTCACAGATTGCCCCGGCATCAAGCAACCGATTAACTTCTTCAACAACGGCAGCTGTGAATTTCGCGACTGACCGCCAGCTTTTCTAAATAATTGACTTACATTTGGGATCAACGTTTAAGCGGTGCTGGGACACAGATGGATCCACCCTCGGCATCTCATATGGTGAATGCAAACATGCAAGCATAAGGTATGCTAATCAAAACATGACCCTAAACTAACCATCGAAAGCAGTTAAATAAAAGGGAGAAAGACGCAGAGTTGGAAAACATACACACACGCACACACACTTATTACAACATTATGCCCTCTCAAAGGAGGGTCCGAATGAATAAGCTAACTAGCTACACTAATTAATGTTAACTAATTAAACTAATTAGACTAATTATTACAAACCAAAACTAATTAACTATTCTAATCTAATTATTACAACTCTTGTATGAATGAAATAGCTAATTTATTCTAAGCTAACAAAAGCGACTAAATGGCCTTGAGGGCGAAGGACGCATGCATGCTCAGTTGATCCACCCAAAAATACCATTGCCTCGCCATCGGATGCCTCTGTTTGCATTTGTTTTAATCACTGAAAATTGTACTAACTCCCAGAATGTCTCTGCTCCAACTCAGGAGCACACTTATGCAAAATTTTATTGGTGGCCAGTCGGCTACAAAAAGTGGCTGTCGACTACTACAACTGGCCGGTCGGCTACTTCAAGTGGCCGTCAGCCACTCCAAGTGGTCGTCGGCTACTAAAACTTGCCGGTCGGCCACCACATCCCTAGACTTCTCCTTTTGCTGCAATAGAGAGCAAACAGAGGCAAAGCAATGTATTTTCAAGGAATGTGTGTACTGTTGCCTTCCTTATCATTGTGCAAACTCAAAGGAA